ATAAGACAACATTGAAGTTTGCTGCATTGATTGATGCCTCCTTTCATGAAAGAGTTCCTTGTAATATGCACTGCTGTTTGATTGCACTTTACCCACAGTAGAACTTTTTTCAAAATTGAAGTCAATCCTCTTAAATCCTGCCACAGCTTTACAAATTATTAATAAGTTTATTACTTAATTCTAAATCCTTTCTTGTCATTTCAACAATGTTCACAGCATCTTCTCCAGGAGTAGATTCTGTCTCAAGAAACCACTTTTCTTTAGTCATCCATAAGATGCAACTCCTCGCCCATTAAAGTTTTATTATGAGATAATAGCAATTCAGTCATATCTTCAGGCTCCACTTCTATTTCTAGTTCCCTGGCAATCTTCACCACATCTACAGTTGTTTCCTCCATTGAAGTTTTAAACCTCTTAAAGTCATCCATGCAGGCTGCAATCAACTTCTTTCAAACTCCTGCTAATGTTGATATTTTGATCTCCTCCTATCAATGTCAAATGTTATTAATGGCATCTAAAATGGAAAATCCTTTACAGAAGGTTTTCAATTTACTTTGCCCAGTCCATCAGTGGAATCACTATCTATGGCAAGTATGTATATTCCTACAAAATGTATCTCATTAAAGACCTGAAACTCAAAATTACTCCTTGATCTATGGGCTGTAGAATGGATGTTGTGTTAGCAGGTATGAAAACATTAATCTTGTATATCTCCCTCAGAGCTCTTAGGTGACTAGGTGCATTGTCAATGAGCAGTAATATTTTGAAAGGAATCTTCTTTTCTGAGCAGTAGGTCTCAAAAGTGGGCTTAAAATGTTGTTAACCATGCTGTAAACAGATGTACTGTCATCCAGGCATTTATAGAACACAGGTATCACTTTTCAGCCTTTTTGCTAAGATCAGGTGTAGTATCTGTTCTTATCAGTTTAAGATAGAGCACAGGCAGAGTAGATTTAACAAAATTCTTAAGGGTTCTAGAATTTTAGAATGGTAAATGAGTATTAGCTTCAACTTAAAGTCACCACTTGCATTAGCCCCCCATAAGATAGTCAGCCTGTCCTTTGAAGCTTTAAAGCCAGTCATAGACTTCTCCTCTCTAGTTATGAAAGTCCTAGATATTCCAATAGAAGGCTGTTTTTGCCTACACTGAAAATCTACTGTTTAGTGTAACCACCTTCACCAATTATCCTTGGTAGATATTCTGGGTAACTTGCTGCTTCACCTTGGTTTTTTTCACAAACAAGTTCTTACTCTGTCACCCAGGCTGGAGTGCAGTGGTGTGATTATAGCTCACTGCAGCCTCAAACTCTTGGGCTAAAGCAATCCTCCCACCTTGGTCTCCCAAAGTGTTGAGATTACAGGCATAAGCCACTGAGCCTAGGCTTCAACTTGTATTTTTATTTTATGGAGATGGCTTTAAACTTTAAACCTCATGAGCCAACCTCTGCTAGCTTTAATCCCTTTTTCCGAAGCTTCCTCATTTCTCTTAGCCTTCATAGAACTAAGAAGAATTAAGATTGCTCTGGGTTAAGCTTTGGCTTAATGAAATGTGACTGGTTTGACCTTCTCTCCAGACCACTGAAACTTTCTACATATCAGCAATAAGGCTGTTTTGCTTTCTTATCTGTGTGTTCACTGAAATAGCACTTTTAATTTCCTTCAAGAGCTTTTCCTTTGCCAGGCATGGTGGCACACACCTGTAGTCCCAGCTTAGGAGGCTGAGGTAGGAAGATCATTTGTCACTTGAGCCAAGAGGTTTGAGACCAGCCTAGGCAACATAGTGAGACCCCTGTTTCTAAAGAAAGGAAAAGGAAAAAGAAAAAACAAGGAAAGAAAGAAACTTTTCCTTTGTACTAACAACTTTGCTAACCAAAGTTATAATAACACTAGCTTTTAGACTACTAATTTAAATAAAAACATTTGTTTCTTAAATCATGTAGAGAAGAAAACAAAGAGTGGAGTTACAAAGCACTGTTACAGTAATACCAGCTTTTATACTTGCCCATATATTAATATTTATATTTATTGAGATATTTATTTCTTCATATAAGAGTTCCAGTGTCCTTTCATTTCCACCTGCAGGACTCCCTTGAGCATATCTTGCAGGGCAGATTTAGTGGTAACAAATCCCCTCAGCTTTTGTTTATCTGGGAATGTCTTTAATTTCTCCCTCACTTTTTTTTTGTTGACTCAAAAATTTTCTTTTTATTCCATTTGTATTACTTCTTGAAACTTGCAGTGAAAGAACACACAAAGGTAAAGTTGTCAAGTGTAATTATGCTCTTGGAAGAGTTTAGATAATTTTTTTAACCTTTTTATAAATTTCAGCATATTATGGGGGTACAAATGTTAAGGTTACGTATATTAAAAATGATGGTTAGATGCCATGAAGTAGGTAGCAATGCCTTAACTGTATGCGTTTTGTATAGACCCAAGAGCCTCTTCCATGCTTGTCAAGGGGAGTGCTAAGCTTCTCTCCTTTCATACAACACTCTCCCTCACTTTTGAAGTACTGTTTTACTGAACAGAAAATTCTTTCATTGATTTTTTTTTTTTTGGTTTTTTTCCAGCACTTTGAATATATTGGCCCACTGCTTTCTGGCCTCCAAAGTTTCTGATGAGTAATCAAGTGCTCTTGAGGATCCCTTATATGTGATGACCATTTTATTCATACATTATCTTCTTGACTTTCTCCATGTCTTTCTCTAGTTCTATAGTATCTTTAAGAGAGTTGTTTAAAAGTCTTCATAAAGTAGGTCCACCATCAAGTCTTTTTCGGGGACAGTTTCTGTTGACTTATTTTTTCCTTTAAATGCACAATACTTTCCTGTTTCTTTGTATGCTTTGTGATTTTTTTGTTGAAAACTAGACATCTGAATATAATGTGGTAACTCTGGGAATCAGATTCTCTCCATTCCCCAGAGTTTCCTGTTTTTAGTTTGATTGTTTTAGGCTATGTCTGTCCCAAGAATCAGCCTGAGATGTAAACTTAAGGTCCAGTCAGGTCTTTTCTGAGCCTGTATCTCCTCTCAGTATGGATGCTGACTTTCTAATCTCCTCCATACATCCAGTTACTTCTGAATGTCCTATTCTTTGATACCTGGCTCACAAGAGGGGAAAAAGAGAAAAATAAAGGGGAAAAAATTGTGCCAGCTCTATATATCTCATGGAAGTCACTTCAGCCAGAAAGAGGAGGATCTTGGAGCAAACAGGGGACATGCAGCAACAACAGATTCCTCGTTGCACCTCTGTGATCAGAAGTAGCAATCGCATAAGCAAAAGGATCCATGCTGTTTGGAGAACAGGTCCTTTTGCCCACTTTGGCTCCCACAAGCTGGTGCAGATTGCTCCTGCCATAGGACTGACAGGTAGAAGATGGGTAGGTGCCACTATACTAAGAGTTGAAACTGACCAAAATTAACAATTTATCATTCAGGCTTCCTCCTGGAAATTGCAAGACTTCAGCAGACTCCAGAGTTTCAACTTAGTGACATGAGACAGGTTCTGCCACTGCAATTGCTGTCTAGGTGGGGAGACAAGGTTCCTAGTGCTTCCTACTCTGCCATTTCCCCCAAATCCTCTCTCCATTATCCCTTTTTGCAGTCACAGAATTTCCAGTTTTTGTCTGGGCAAAGGCTTGCCCAGTATAAAAATTACGTATTCCAATCTTCCTTGCAGCTAGCTAAGACCACATGACCAGATTTTGGCCAGTGGGATGTAAGTGGAAGTAGTAGTACAAATTTAAGAAGTATCTTTAAAGGGATACCCTTCTCCTATTCCAGATTTTTTTTTAAATGGAGTATCTCTCTGTCGCCCAGGCTGGAGTACAGTGGTACAGACATAGATTACTGCAGCTTATACACCTGGGCTTTAGTAATGATGTTCCCATCTCTGCCTCCAAAGTAGCTAGACTACAGGTAGGCACCATCATGCCCAGCTAATTTTAATTTTTTGTGGAGGCAGGATCTCACTATGTTGCCCAGGCTAGTCTTGAGCTCCTGGCGTCAAGTGATCCTCCTACCTCAGCCTTCCAAAGTGCTGGGATTATGGGGATAAGCCACAATGCCTGGCCTCCTATTGCAGTTTGATGCTGAATGTATAATGGGTGACTGACCTTTTACAGTCATTTTGGACTATGAAAAAGACATATGTTGATGCCAGACAAACAAAAGGGAAGGAACCTGGGCTTCTGAAAACATTAGGGGCAACATCAGACCTGAACTAGCTATATTTAGGCTTCTTTTAAATAAGAGTAATAAATTTTTTTTTGTTTAACCACCATCGTTTTAGTGATTTCTATTATAAACAGTTGAACCTCATCCTAATTAATGTATTCAACTCATTTCCTGGCCCAGGAAGCAAATTCTTTTTTTTTTTTTTAATCGAGAAATAGCTTTGGTGTGATGTCTCTTTTCATATATCTACTCACTGAACAAACATCCAAGGCGGCTGTAATTTGGAGTTCAGACACTTTAAGGTAGAATTCACAAGGAAGAAATGACATTGTTAAGATGGAAGCTGCAAACCAGGGAGAAATTTGTTGTAGAGAACAGCATCAGTGATGGTCTTAGCCATATGAGCTGCAACAACAAAATAACACAAAATGAGTAGCTTATAAACAACAAAAAAATTTCAGTTCTGGAAGCTGGGAAGTCCAAGATCAAGGTGACAGCAGATTTGGCATTGTCTGAGGGCCCATTTACTGGTTCACAGATGGCACCTTCTCACTGTGCTCAAGTGGTAGAAGAGGCAAAATGAGCTCTATTATAAGGACACCTATCCCATTCATTGGGGTTCTTCCTCATTACCTAACCACCTCCCAAATGCCCAATGCCATTGCCTTGGGGATTTGGATCACAACATATTAGTTTTGGGGGAGCACACAAACATTCAGATCATAAGAATGATCCTGGGGCAATCCCAACTATAGATATCTCAACTTATCTTGTGAGAAACCATAAAGTAATAACCATAAAGGATTTCAGATCTTAGGGAATTACCGAATTCTCAACAGTGTCAGTATCTGAAACCAGCAGATGATTTCTTCTTCTTTCTCTTCTTCTCCTTCTCCTCCTACTCTTCCTCCTTCTCCTTCTTTTCTTCTGACAGGATCTTGCTCTGTTGCCTGGACTGGAGTATGTGGTACAATCATTGCTCACTAGAGCCTTGAACTCCTGGGCTCAAGCAATCCTCCCACCTCACCCTCCAGAATAGCTAGAACTACAGGCACATGCCACCATGCCCAGCTACTTTTCTTATTTTTTGTAGAGACAGGGTGTTTCATTGTGTTGCCCAGACTAGTCTCAGACTCCTGGCCTCAAGTGATCCTTCCACCACAGCGTCCTGAAGTGCTGGGATTACAGGCATGAGCACCATGCTCACCCAGCCTTTTTCCTCTTAAAGCTTCAGATATAAATTAAGATGATGTTACAGAACCTGAGCAAGTTCTTTTTTTGAAGACTATTAGCTTAATTAATACTGTTTCTCTCATAAGGTCCTGATTACTGTGCTCCCAATTTAACTGAAAACTTACTAGGGCCTATAATAACATACAGTCTAGGAGGCTTAACAACAGCAATAAAAACTTTATATCATAATGATTAAGAGCATAAACACTGAAGTCAGACATATCTACACTGGAGTCTACTACTTCCAAACTGTGGGACCTTGGGCAAGTTAAAACCTTTCTAAGCCTTGGTTCCCTCACTGAGAATAACAGATACATAGATTTAATCATATAAAGTGATTAGCACAGTGCCCGGCACGTAACAGTCACTGAGTAAATGGGAAGAGTTATCATAAGATTCCTAGTATCCACAGTATGTGCAGCTAAAGGCCTCCAGAGGTAACTTATTGTATTTCCTTTAGATGTCCAGGTTTTACCAACACACATATAACATGGAGTCACATGAACAATATTTACTATGTTCTGCTGGCTCTTAATCTTCCAGTTAATAAAGAAACTCCATTTCTGCCAACTCTCTTCCCCATACATTTACTTCTGCAAATTCCCCAGTAGTGTCTCCATAAACAAATCCTTACCATCCTGGTGATGCCCGTATCATTCTTTCTTCTAGCTTCTTTGATGATGTTTGTATAAAAGGGATCTACTGCCTTCTAAGATGGACTGAGACTTCTCACCACTACCTTTACATTTTCCTTAAAATATTATTTCTCACTTTATAAAAAGGGTATCACAAGACTTACTTTTTCACATAATGTTGCATTGCTAAGATTCATACAGATTGTTGCATGTCATTGCAGCTCATTTGTTTTTGACTGCAGTACCACATCATCCACTCTTCTGATGATGGGCACCAGGGTAGTTTCTAGGCTTCTGCTGTTGTGAAAGCACTACAAAGTATTCTTGTTCATGTTTCCTGTGGTACACATGTAAGTTTCTCTTAGCATATACTCAGGAGTGGTATTGCTAAATTATAGTCTGTGAATGATACATGTTACTTCATGTATTAAAATTTTCATATCTAGTATTTTCACCTTGTGACTTTCTGTTTTTACTTTATCTTTCCTTATCTCTTTGAGAATATTATGCTTATTTTATTTTTTTATTATTTTTTTCTTTTTTCCAGCATATTATGGGGGTACAAATGTTAAGGTTATATATTTCCCTTGCCCCCCTCCCCGTATTATACTTATTATAAATTCTTGGTCTGCTCATTCTACTAATTCTCCTTCAGAAATGTTTATATATGCATGTTTATATATGTATTTGAAGGCAAGGAATAATATACACACAACTATATATAGTGGTCATTCTTGAAGAATTGAGATTATGATAAAACATCAGTTCAACTACCCTGGACAGCATTTCATTTTATTTTATTATGTAAAATGTAGAAATCCTTGATTAAGAAAAAATAGGGAAGACATCAGAAACCAAAGAATTTTCATAGGAAAGCAATGTTTGCTGAAGAATACCTTTGTTCCAGCCATGATGAGCATCTACCCTTTTGGCAATCCATGGCAAAGCTCCATGGTGTATCTCTCCCACTCATTCTTGAGCCTTGGTCCTGGATATGAATGTCATTAGAGGTTGTAGAAATAAAAAAAGAACCAAAATAAGAACACGCTCTATGAAAGCCAAGCTCAGAGAGTGGTCCTCTTTTACTTAGGTATTAATATATCAGGAACAGAAACAATCAACATTCCTGAGAGCATATCTTCTATTCATTTGGGTTTTTTGGCCTGGGGCTTCAGTGTGGAGCTGAGCACTCCACCACCCTTCCTCCAGTCACAAATGTCTGCATAGCTGCATGTCCGGCACTTCCAAGCCTCCTCCACATTGACCCCTTGAGGTTCTCGGTGTCCCATCCAATAGGCCATATAATGTTGCACCTTGATCTTCACCTTTTTCTCTTCAAAGGCTACAATCTCTGTACCTAGCACAGTGGCAGTGTCTTGATGGACATACTCAATCTTCAGGATATCAATAACTGGGAGGTCTGACAGTGTTAGAGACAAGAAGACCAGTTCCATGAGGTCACCCAAAGAGTTCACAGAGAAGCCTCCCTGCTGGGCATGCCTCAGCACTGAAGGCCCCAGTGGCTTTTCTGGACACAATTTTGTGTGGTGGATTAGGCTAGCAGGGGTCACTTTCCCTTGTACCATGGCATCAAAGATATATTTGTATAGGCTGACTTGAAAACAGTCTTTCTTTTTCTGAGCTTCTAGAGGGAGTATAGGGTGCCTGCGTGTCTTGAGTTCAGCCAGTTCCAGTTCTCCTTTTGCTGTATAGTGCAGCTCATCAATCACTCCAACAATAAGCACACCCTCCACTTCCCCAAACACTGGAAACTCTCTGATGCGCCCTCCTGACTGCAGGGTAGGAATCATTGATAGTATGTTCAAAAACTTAATTGCCCAAGCATCTTCTTTAGTGGTAATGGGGATAGTCACGAGATCATGAAGTTCTAGTTCTCTAGCTAGGTGGATGCTGGCACCAGTGTCCAAAACAGCTGCCTTCTCAGGTGACAAGAAACCAGGAAGCTCCTTTCCATATGCAGTTTGTAGTTCACACCAGTTCTGAGTACACAGGTCGGTGACATATAAATATTTAAGGTGGAATCTCTCCATAGGTGATGAGACATCCAATCCTCTTTTCCAGTTTTGTAAGCTTATGGGCTTGTCATCCTTCCCAGGGGGCTCAGTAGAAGGGCCAGACTTGCTAAGTGAAGCACTTGACTCTTGGGCATCTTCCATGTCCAGAAACTCCAAAAACTCTGAATCACTCAAGTCTGAGAAGCCTGAGGCTTCTGCTGATACTGTCTCCTCTTCCCCAGTCTCTGCCATGGCATAGCTCTGGATGGGCAAGGAGGGCCCTGCATAATATGTTAAAGAAACACACTGTCCAAATAAAGAACTTCTCAAAAGCACTTTCAAATTCCAATGAGATTTTTAAAAAAATCATGACAAATTACTCAAATTCTTTAAAGAAGCCAATTTATTTATGATCAGTTAGTAATACCACAGAGTTGCAGTACCTGTACACTTTACAATAGGGCTCCTTGTATCATCTGTATATATGCCTGGCAGAATATTTTAAATGGAAAAATAGTTTTATTCCTGGATCTGCCACTAACATATTTTGTGTGATTTTTAACTAAATCATTTTTCTTGGCCTCAACTTCTTCAGATTTAAAAGGAGATTTGGGGTTTGCCTTTTCTGGTTCAAAATTTTACATACTTAGAACATTATTTCATTATTTTAAGTGACTGTACATCTTTGTAAACGTATGAGCAACGTTTGACAGTTTACAACAGGCCACTTCTACAATTTCTTTGATACGAAGTCCTTGACCACAAAAGTAAATCTTAAATACAGACTGTTCCTTGAGAAAAATCGGCACCATGATGACTTTTTAAAAAAACTTTTTAATTTTTATGTTTTTGAGATAGGGTATTGCTCTGTTGCCCTGGCTAGAGTGCAGTGGCATGATCATAGCTCAGTGAGACCTCAAACTCCTGGGCTCAAATGATCCTCCTGCCTCAGCCTCCTGAATAGCTGGAACTAAGGGCACATGCCACTATGTCCAGCTAATTTTTTGTATTTTTTGTAGAGACAGGGTCTCACTCTTGTTCAGGATGGTCACAAACTCCTGGCCCCAAGCAATCTTCCCGCCTTGGGTGCTAGGGTTACAGGCATGAGCCACTGCCACCATGCCCTTTCTTTAATCTTAAGAAACTATCTTGTGAAGGTATTCCTTTTACACCTTCCTTCAAGCCTCACATATCTAACTTTGCACAGACAGAAAACAAAACAAGGTATGCCCAGTCAATTAGTATTTGACATTGAGTGCCAGAAAAATAAATAGTTGAAACAGAATTTAAGCTGATAGAGGTAACTATGAACTGTCTCCTCCTTGCCATTCTAATAAGCAGTGAATAAGGTGAATGCACCAACTCCCATGTCATAACTTAAGAAGTGATACCCTGAAAAATGTCTTTAATGTTATGGTTATGCTTAACTAATTTTTAAATAGTCTAAATGTCACTAATAAAAGAAAGCATAGATAGCCAGAAGAAAATTATTTGCAATGAACAAAAGAAATACAATGCTAAGACTTTTGTTTATACAGTATCTTAGGAAGTTATTGCTCTATAGGATACTTTATAATAAAACACATAACTTTAAACATTCTCATAGGAAAAAAAGTAATAAACATAGAAGCTGCACATTTGCATAAGTGTCTTAAACTGTAAATATGCTTTAAGTGATAATTTCAAAATTAATAACTTTGTTTAACTATAAAGTCCCTGAAAGTTTCAGAGAATCTTTAATTTCTACGGAAGGGTGCACTCTGAGGTTTTTGTGAGGGGGAGAAGGGGCACTAAGTCCAAATGAATTAACCTTGAAAATTATTTTATTTCAAATATCTGGAGCTGGCTGTCCAATATGGTAGCCACCAACCATATGTGGCTACTTACGTTTAAATTAATTAAAATAAAATTTAAAATTCATTCTCTTAGTTGCACTGACAACATTTTCAATGTTCAGTAGCTCCATGTGGCTAGTAGGTACAGTATAAGGTACAGATATAGAACATTTCCCTGATCACAGAAAGTTCTACTGAACAGCACTTATTTAGACTATTTCTTGTGTATGCATTAACTGCCAAAAGAGAGAGTAAGTTCCTCAAAGGTACAGACTGTCTACTTGTTTTACGCACAACATTGAGAACAGGGAAGTCTTAAACAGGTAAATGAAAAGTCTTGTGGAGAAGAATCAAAGGGGGGCATTCTCTATGGAATTATTCACCTAAAAGAAGAAAACAATACACTAAGGATGGACAATTTACTCAGATGTGTGGCTGGGACTTTCCTATGCAGAAAAAAAAATCCAGGAGAGAGCATAAATATATAAATGTAGTGAATTGTATCCCAAAATGTAGTCTGCATATCTTTGACACATGAGAGGATTTTGCATGGTATATGGACCAACATTATTAGATACACCTCAGATTAACTATAAAACCACTGGAACATTCATGAAATGTCTAATTTCATAGACACTATATCTTAGGACAAGTTTGATTCTTTTAATAATGTAAAAAAGAAAAAATATGAGAATAATAACATAGGTAGTACACAGATTATGGCAAAAATTGTTAGGTGATAAGTGAATAAGATGTTTGGGAAGCACCCACATAGTGTCAAGAGTCTGGGGGTCCTACAGATCTGGATTCTGAACCTTAGTAGTTCCATAGTATATTTTTTCTTTTTTTTTTTTTTGAGACAGAGTCTCACTCTGTTGCCCAGGCTACAGTGCCGTGGCATCAGCCTAGCTCACAGCAACCTCAAACTCCTGAGTTAAAGCGATCCTCCTGCCTCGTCCTTCCAAGTAGCTGGGACTGCAGGCATGTGCCACTGTGCCCGGGTAAGTTTTTCTATTATTATTTTTTTTTTAGCTGTTTGGCTAATTTCTTTATATTAGAGACAGGGTCTCACTCTTGCTCAGGTTGGTCTCGAACTCCTGAGCTCAAGCAATGCTCCCACTCGGCCTCCCAAAGTGCTAGGATTACAGGCGTGAGCCACAGCACCTGGCTGTTCGGTAGTATTTAATAGTATGCCTTGTGAGTAATCTTGGACAAGGTTTTAGTTTTCCTGAAACTACTGACACATCTTTAAAATGAGCGTACTCCTTTTAACCCTACTTAGCTACCAAACATTGAATGACAAACATAATACACATATAATGTGGAACTCCTTCTCTTTCCCAAGGAAGAGATGAGAGAGAGTATCTATTTTCTCTGGCAAATGAGATTAAACTTTAGAAGAGAGGAAACTCCTACTCACCTGGGCCTCAGTTGGTTTTCCTCCTCACAGGGAAGGCCAGAATGCTGAAATGACAAGGCGAAGGGCAGAGAAAGAAGCTCTGAAAGACTAAGTCTTCATCAAAGAACCTAGATTAGCAACTTGGGTCTTTACTGTGGTAGATTTGGGGCTTTTGGTCCTTTCTCACCTGACCATTCCCTTACGTTGTGGTGTTTTCTCCTCTCTGATCCATCCACAATTCACAGACTATTGCTCACCTCAAATCCTAACATTTGCCTCTCCCCTGGAGCAAACCCTCCGTGATTTCTTCGTTTTCCCCATACTCTGGAAGCAGTTATTTGATCCGATCCCTGTTCCCTGCAAGTAAAAGGGTAAAAAATAGCCGCGGTGTCCCAGAAGCTCTGAGATCGGTTTCCTTTTCCAGCTCCATCTTCAACCAAAAAGCTTGGGCAGGAAACCTCAGGTCAGAGGCTTTGCTTTACCTCTTTGTGCTCCTGCTGCCTGCAGAATTGCCCCGGCCTTCACCCTCAACATCCTGACTTGTTTGGTGCAGGCTGGACTTGTGGACTCCAGGGGCATCTGCATTCAGCGGGGACCTTCCCTCTGGTCCCAAATCACTTTCTCCCCGGCGTGCCATGCAAGCCCTACTGAGCACTTCCTACAACATCCTGGAGAAGCCAGGAATGAGAACATTCCTAGATCGAGGCTCTCTGGCCTCGGGAAGGGGTCCTAGCAGAACACAGGGTCTTCCAAGGGTGAAGGTCCAGAACCGGGAACCTTGCCTGCGAGGGGAGACTAAACGAACCGCTTTCCAGGAGCCACTCCCCTCGCCCCCCTGCCAGGGAGAGGGACACGGAGACCGTGAGGACCGCGCGCAGCCCACCACCCCATTCGCTGGTCTTCCCCTAACCTCAGATACTCCTCCGAATCCCAGTCTCCACCTGGTTTTGCCGCGGCCTCAGAGCTGTTCCCAGACGCTTCCCGGACGAGTTTGAGAAGGCTGGGCACAGCGCTCAGCCACAGCCGACTATCAGCCCGCGGCAAAAGTTGCCCAGAGCCCAGTCCCACAATACCCAGCGGCTGCCCAAGGACCGCCCCTTCCCAGAGGCCTCAGCGGCTCCGCCTGTCCTCGCGAGGCTGTGGCTCCCACGGAATCTTTCTCACTGCAGGGCGGAAGGTGCTACAAACGCAAGGGCAACTTCTGGGAACTCGCTAAAGGTGGGCTGTCTCACCGTGTGCGCCGCTGTCGACACGTAGTTTAATTCCGGGCGGAGCTGCGCTATCTCCTGACGTATAAAGTCCCTCTCTGGCGTGGTCTCCCTGCTACTGCAGGGCCAATCCTAGAAAGTCTGGCCATGTCGCTTGCCATGGTGCACCTGGCCTCTGCGTGTTAATTGCTGCATCCTTGCTTTTGCCACCCTCGGATTCTCTGTCCCTATCTTAGCACTTTGCACCAGATTTTCCAGCTGAGGGAACAACCACGAACTCACTCTTGAAAGATGCTCGCGCCTTCCTCATCAACGTATTTCTTTTTTTCTGTTTGCTTACTTTTAACTAACCATTTTTTGGGAAATGTAATACAACTATATTTATTCTCAAGCATAAGACAAAGGTAAGTATAATAATTATTGCACATTAAGCAGACATGGCATCATTAGAGCAAAACTAGAACAGTGCCATTCCCTTCCCAAATACACTCCTGAGGCAACTACTAGCTTGACTTTTATGGCACTTCCTTGCTTTTCTTATCGTTTTTCACACATATATGGAAACTTAGTTTATGACAAAAGGTGGCATCACACAGCAATGGGGAAGAGATGGTGTTTTCAATTAAGGTTCTATGGTAATAGGGGTATCCTTATGAAAAAAATATAAAAAGGGACCTCTATCTCCATAACAAAAATCAATTCTAGGTGGATTAAATATTCACATATGAAATGCCAAAGTCTAAAAGCTTTTAGACTATAATATAGGAAATTATCTTTTGGACTTCAGAATAGGTAAATATTTTTAAATAAAAATAGAAAAGCATAAAATTAAGGAAGCTACAAAGGCTATTTTATGTCAGTTGGGAAAATTTAAAAGTGACTTGTGTTTTAGATAATATTAACACTGAAGTACAGATATCCTGAGTGTAATAATTTTGTGTTTATGTAGGAAAACGTCCTTTTTCTTAGAAATATGGAAGTTGAGGAAAAGCTTTTTAATCAAGTGAGATATGAGAGGGCATTTCTGGATTGAGGCTGGAAAAGGTTTCTGCCTCCTCTCCAATATAACCTTCCTTATTGTAACTCCCAGCACAAGGAAAATCTCTTCCCAACCCCTTCACACATGGACAACTCCCTTCAAATGGAGGTTGAGGGGCAATGCCACTAAGTGGAGTGTAGCAGATGAGACTGAGAAACAATCATGGAATTTGTGGGGAAATCCAAGACAAAAGTACCATATTCCTCAGAGCTTTCAATCTGAGGACGGTGGGCCTCCAAATTCAGAAAAAAAGGATGCTTGTTTCCCCAAAAAGATATCCTAGGAAGTCTGGATCTTTAAGGCCCATCTATATACAAAAATCATTGATTTGTCTTTCCTCTCCAAGTCTATAACCATGGAAATACTGTTTGATACAAATGGTCCTTTTTCCTCTCTGTCCATCCTTCTTTCATTGGTCTTTTAGAACATAGGATTTGTACCTCTCATATTGTACTGGCTACAGTCTACCTTATATCAGAGGAGGTCTTTATATGAGTAGTCTCTAGAGTGGCACTGTCCAATACAGAAACCCCATGTGGCTCTTGAACACTTGAAATGTGGTTAGTCTGAATGAAATAAAATACACACTGAGGCTGAGTGTGGCAGCTCATGCCTGTAATCCCAAAACTTTGGGAGGCCAAGTCAGTAGGATCACTTAAGACTAGGAATTCAAGACCTGCCTGGGCAACATAGTGAGACCCTATCTCTATGAAAAATTTAAAAATTATCTGGATGCAGTGGCACATGCCTATAGTCCCAGCTACTTGGGAAGCTGAGATAGGAGGATTGTTTGGGCCCAAGAGTTCAAGGCTGCAGTAAGCTATGGTCACACCAGTGTACTCCAGCCTGGGTGACAGAGAACCTGTCTCAAAAAACAAAACAAAACAAAAAACCCCACTGTATTTTGAAGACTTAGTACAAAAAAATGTAAAATAACTCAATAATTTTTCATATTGGTTACATGATAATATTTAGGATGTGTTTGGTTAAATAATTTTTTTAATTAATGGTACTGCTTTTTATTAATGTAGTTGCTAGAAAATTTATATACATGGTTCACATTTGTGTTGTGGGTCACATTGTATTTCTATTGTACAGCATTGCTAGAGCATCAGAACCTTAAGGGCAGAGAATTTATGTTGCTCAAGTGTGTTCCTCACAGGTGCTGGAACAATAATTGACATAATAATCTTTATATACTTAAGAGAACTTCATTGAAAATATTCTGTATTTAAGAATTTCCTCTTCCCCATGTAAAGATCGGCCTCTCTTCACCCAAACTCATGGTCATTGAAAAGGGCATTTTTAGTCACAAATCTAGAGGCGGCTGGGAAATTGGGGTAGGTGGGAATGAACTAAGGACATAAGCCTGGGGCATGCTTCAGCTAAAAGCAGGCAGCTTCAGATACAGGACATCAAGGGTTTTCTCTTTCCATTTCTTGGGTTTGTTCCCTTGTGTTTGCTCCATTATCCAGACAGCCTACCTCCCCTTACACTGCTAGTAGTTTCCAGGGGCTATGAAAACCTTACAGATTTGTGTCCAGTGGAAAAAAAAGGAATTCCACTTCCCTAATTGTTCAAACGTTCCAGAAATTAACCCTGATTAATCAAACTGGGGTTATATGGTATGCCTGTCTTAGCCAGAATCTTATGCAAAACAGAGCCTGAGGCAGTGTGCCTTTTTTTTTTGGAAGGTGCAAATCCATGGTAGAAGGACAAGAGGGAAGTGGAGCAAATCAACAATGTAAAGCAAATTGAAGTGGTGTGTTATTGCACTGGCTATTGCTTCATGGTAAGCCATGGTTCTTTCACACCAATTTCTGAGTAATTTTATAAAATTTAAATCCTATGTTGTCACTCATCTCTAGTCTAAAATTCTGTAGGATAAGGCCTATCCCTTTAGTTAATTTAGTAAATTGAGCCAAGAATTCATGGGTTCACCCATAAAGGTATAAATTTTATGACATGTATCACACATCATTGCCTTATGTTGTGGTGCACACTAAATCTGGGATGATGAGTAGGAGCTAACAAAGAAATTGGGCAAAATCACTGTGGTCCTGGCCTTGGTGCTCAGCTTTCACATCATAAGCAATGTTAAGTAATGCTCATTCATTAATTTAATGTCTATTAAGTAGAAAGTCATGTCCCTCCTCCTTTCTCTCTCCCTCCCTGTGTTAACTCTAACATGCTAACATAAGCATCCTGTAAAATGCTATGTATGGTCAGGAGATCATTAATGGTAGACCCTGCCATCCTACATACCCTGTCTCATCACTTCTACATTCCAATCAAAAGTGTTGCAGCCAAGATTATATTTGCTAAGGTAAATCATCAGTCTCTTTAAAGGGACTCCCTTTCATCAGCCAGTTCCAACCTCAGAAATCAGGGACTAGAGCAGTTGGTGGAAAGGGGTCTCCTCTTTCTCCAGCAGAGACTGGTGGTCTTGGCTACTATTCAAGAAGACGCAGATTCTTCTCTCGCTCCAGGGATGGCAAGTGCTGATGTTTCTGGGGGATGCAGCTCAGCTGGTACTTCCAGGCCATGTTATTGAGACAAATTGATGCTTCTTGGAGGGTTGACAGGGCTATTGGTCCAGGAGATGCTTCATCATCAATTATGGCCCCTAAAGCTCCATATCTTGCTGGCGGATAAATTAGTCCAACCTGTATGGTCAATTTGCAAATATCCATCCTACAAATGCACATACCCTCTAGCACAGAAATCCCAGTTCTAGGAATTTACCCTACATATATACTTACATGTGTGAGAAATGAAAACATGTAAGAATATTCATTGAATATTGTACAAAATACTGAAAATAACCCAAATCTATCCATAGTAAAGAGGCCAAATAAAATACATTTATACCATGGAATACTATGCAGCTATAAAAAATGAACAGGCACGTTATATAGTGAGGTGGAATGACCTCCATGAAATATTAATAATGTGCAGATGTTTGTATAGGAGGTAGCCATTTCTGCTTAAAAAGAAAAAGGGAAACTGCATATTTGTACACTCTTGGATGTAAATAGAAAAATCTAGAAGGGTGCACAAAAAATTAGTTATAAAAATGATGTCCCTAGGTCAGAAAATTTGGTGGTAGGAAATGTAGGAAAAGAGGCTTTTCACTATGTACAATTGCTTTTGCCTCTGAACTTCATACCATGTGAAAGCTTTCCCCATTAAAAGAATAAAATTTTAATTTAAAAAATAGGGATGGCAATATTTTAAACAGTAGTTCCTAATGCCAATCTGTATATCCATGATTACTAGTGAAGAATAATTTTGAATCCAACATGAAATTAGAAAAAAAATTATGTTATGAATTTTTCATAATGCTGAATTCATTTAATTAGTTTGAAGGACCAGATTTTATTCTTTCTTTATTACTTTTTTTTTTTTTTTTGAGACAGAGTCTCACTCTATGCCCTGGCTAGAGTGCAGTGGTGTCATAATAGCTCACTGTAACCTCAAACTCATGGGCTCACGCAATCCTCCTCAGCCTCACCCTCCGGGATAGCTGGGACCACAAGCACACACACCATGCCCAGCTAAGTTTTTTCCTATTTATTGTAGAGATGGGGTTGGTCTCCAACTCCTGAGCTCAAGTGATCCTCCCACCTTGACCTCCCAGGGTGCTAGGATTACAGGCATGAGCCACCACGCCCAGCCCAGATTTTATTCTTAAGTACTTTGTATGGAGATGTTAGTAGACAGTAGTTACCAAGGTAATGTTTATTTACACAACAGGCAAACTTAAAAGTTGGCATCATTACATCAATTCCTCAAATTCATTTACGTCCTGAAATTTTAAAGCATAGAAAGACTGATTTGGACTTGGCTTTTGTTCTCATGTCAAATATCTTTTTCTACACATTATTTCGGAAGGCATTCCTCCTGTGTATTTCATGGTGTCGACTAAGTGATGAATTATAGCTGAAGGCTTTTCCACATTCATTACATTCATAAGGTTTTTCTCCAGTGTGATGTCTTTGATGTTTTTTAAAGGATGAATCATGCCTATAGGCTTTTCCACAGCGGTTGCATTCATATGCTTTCACTCCTGTATGAACAGTTTTATGGTTGCTAAGGTGTATCCTCTGTCTAAAGGCTTTTCCACATTCCTTACATTTGTAGGGTCTTTCCCCAGTATGGATTCTCTGGTGATGTGTTAGATACGCTCTATGACTAAAGGTTTTACAACATGCAGTGCATGCATAGGGCTTCTCCCCAGTATGAATTCTTATATGTTCACTAAGATGTCTAATCTGTCGAAAGGTTTTCCCACATTCATTGCAAGTAAAGGGTTTCTCTCCAGAATGAGTCCTCAAGTGCTGAATCAAGCTAATATTCTGGCTGAAAGCTTTCTGACACTTATCACATACATAGGGTTTCTCTCCAGTGTGAGTTCTATGATGCTGATTAAGCGATGAGCGATGTCTGAAGGTTTTGCCACATTCCTCACATTCAAAGGGTTTCTCACCAGTATGGATTCTCTGGTGTGTACTAAGGGATGCACTTTGACTAAAGGCCCTTCCACATTCTTTACATCTGAAAGGTTTCTCACCAGTATGAATTCTCATGTGTTCAGTAAGATGAATGGGTTGTTTGAAGATTTTTTCACATATATTACATTCATAGGTTTTTGTTCTTATGTAATTTGTTGGATGATTAATCAAATCTAATTTGTATTTGTTCTTTCTAGGTGTATCACATTTATGGTGCCTCTGTTCTATAATAAGATTTGAACTCACAATGATATTTTCCCCAAATTTGTTAGTTTCTTGTCCTCTCTCCTTGTAGGTCAAGATGGTTTGTCTCACATCTCTAACACAGGTTTCCTGGTGCCTTTCTAACACATCATCATATTTGGAGACTTTTCTCAATGTGGAATAAATGATATCATCCTTCATGACTCTTTCCATCATAATGCCATGATACAACTCTTCCTGTGAAGTGGCATTCTTTGCACTAGTCTCTGTTTTACTCTTCAATTCTGAAAGAAATGGAAAAACTGTAAATAACTCATACTCATTATGCCTTGAAAAATCAATCACTATACTGGTATGGAACAGACACTTAGACAACAATACATATAAGTATATGAAACTTTGACTATCTTTAAATATAGTTATACAGCCTGGAAAGGTAATGAAAAATGAAATTAACAAACAGTGAACAAGTTAAAAGTGTTATTTTATATACATAGTAAAATTTGAATCTTGTTCTAATAATACTAAGTAATAGAATTTCAAAACTATGTCTTAAGAATGGAAGTACTCAGGCTGGGCACGGTGGCTCACGCTTGTAATCCTAGCACTCTGGGAGGCCGAGGCGGGCGGATTGCTCAAGTCAGGAGTTCAAAACCAGCCTGAGCGAGACCCCGTCTCTACTATAAAAATAGAAAGAAATTAATGGCCAACTGAATATATATATATATGAAATTAGCTGGGCATGGTGGCCTCGTGCCTGTAGTCCCAGCAACTCGGGGAGGCTGGAGGCAGTAGGTTGCTTGAGCCCAGGAGTTGAGGTTGGCTGTGAGCTAGGCTGACGCCACGGCACTCACTCTAGCCTAGGCAAGAAAGCAAGACTCTGTCTCAAAAAAAAAAAAAAAAAAAAAAAAAAAAAGAATGGAAGTACTTTAAATTGACAACCACTTTTGGAAAACAATCTCAGAAAGATAGAAGAGGTCTTTCTCTCTCCCCCTACTCCAGCAACAGCAGGAGATTCACTAGTTCAAAAAATAGGGCTTGAACTAAAAACAAAGAACATACACTGTCTTTTATTGAAACTTGTATTTGTGGTATATGTAATCAGTCTGTTTCTGTGAGTTAGTAACATAGCGATGGAAGTGCTTACTTATACAAGGGAGACTTAGTAAAAAACCCAGACTGCATATGTTGCTATTGCTGTAGGTCTAAGGAAAATATCCTTTAACCTTTAAAATTCTGACTGGTTTCTTTACTTGATAATTTGTTGCACCATTATTAATATTTCAATGGATACATTAGGTATATATTTCTTTTTTTTTTTGAGACAGATTCTCACTTTGTTGCCCAGGCCTTGAGTGAGTGCCGGTCGTCAGCCTAGCTCACAGCAACCTCAATCTCCTGGCTCAAGCAATCCTGCTGCCTCAGCCTCCGAGTAGCTGGGACTACAGGCATGTGCCACCATGCCCAGCAATTTTTTTTTTGTATATATATTCTTTAGTTGGTCCGATTAATTTCTTTCTATTTTTGGTAGAGACAGAGTCCACTCAGGCTGGTTTCGAATTCCTGACTCGAGCCAATCCTCCCGCCTCGCCTCCAGAGTGCTAGGATTACAGTCGTGAAGGATATATTTCTTGAAAAATAAAATTTCTTTTAAAGATTGTTTTGCAACACAGAAGGATCATTAGCAATTCCAAATTCTAAATGAAAGAGAGCAATAATAACATCTAATAAGTGTCTAGCTCCGCCAGGCCCAATTCTGTCCTGAATAGGCAAAGAGGAGAGAAGAAGACAGGCAAGAGAAAGGAGCCATCTATGTAGCCCTCCCCAGTTCAGTATTCAAGCCTGAGGTAGGTGTCAGCCAGGGAGCAAGAATAGAGGCTTTACCTTTGATGAAGCGGGAGTTTTTATTATTGCATTGAACTAAATAAACATTTTACAAAATCAAGACTGCTTCAGGCCATCTATGGGACCTCTCTGAGATTTTTATCCATAGGCAAGGAAAAGACAGTCACGGTAGGTTTTGTTTGGTTTTGCTTTAAAAGACAGAGTCTTACTATGTTGCTGGGTTAGATTTGAACTCCTGGGCTCAAGGAATATTCCTGCTTAGCCTCTTGAGTACCTGGGACTATAGGCACATGCCACCATTCTTGGCTATGTTAACTTTATTATTATTTTCATTGTTATGCACTTGAGTACGAGCCTCGACTATAGTCTATAGCCACAATGAACGCGCACAGCAACTTAGCCAACAGCGTGATATGAAGGCGCACAGCTGAGCGTCAGCTTTAGCCGACAGCTGTGATATGCCTTTTCTAATTTTTCATTTATCAAAATAAAATTGTAAACATTTAAAAATAACTTAATAAAAACATATATGTATATGTTACCTATTCTTATTTACAAGTAAAGCTGCCTGTAAAGTAAAAACAAGCTTTCAGTCTTTAAAGGCTTTCACATCACACAAGAGCAAAACGGATTTGTCCGTCAATGCCCAGCACAAACTATCCCCGACGATGAGTGCCGCTGTGGGCAAGGTTTCTCGGCTGGTGAGTGCCATACCGAAAGTGGTTATGAATTTAAGAAGAGAAAACGCAGAAAGTGTACAATCATTGAAATTAATAACAGAAAAACAAGATGGCTACCATAAGATAATATTCAAAATCATTGTGGGGAGGGGCGGGTATATACATACATAATGAGTGAGATGTGCAGCATCTGGGGATGTCATGAGGAGACTCAGACTTGTGGGGAGGGGGGAAACTGGGCATTTATTGAAACCTAAAATCTGTAACCTCCATAATATGCCGAAATAAAAAATAAATAAATAAAAGTAATACTTTCCAAATTAAAAAAAAAATCAATTTGTTATTATATATCAGAGCCAAAAACATAATTTTTAAAAATATGGAAAAAAGAGAAAAAATACTGTTTATAATAACAACAAAATATAATATTTTCAGGCTGAATCTAACAAAAGATGTTCAATATATGTAAGATCTTTATGTAGAAAATCCTGCAATGTTATTGAAAAATTAGGAAATATCAATAAATGGAGCAATATAGCATATTCCGGATAGTTGGACTCAATATAATATTAACTCTCCCCAAAACTGATCTATAAATTCAGTTCTATTCCAATCAAAATGCTACCAGAGTATGTGTGTATGTGTAATTTTATATGCTGATTATATAATACATATGGAAAAACAAAGAGCTAAGAATAGCCAGAACAATTTTAAAGAACAAAGTAGATGAACTACCAGATAGTAAATTTCATTATGAAATATAGTAAATAAGACAGCTTGGCATTAGAGTAGGGACAGAAAAATAAAAGAATAAAACATAATAGAGCCCAGAAACAGACTCAAATATAACATATAAAGAAACTTGACAGGTGACAGAGTGCATTAATCATTACTGGACTGATTATCCATGTGGAAAAGTTAAACTAGATTTTCACCTCATACTATGTATACAACAACTTCCAGGTGAATTGAACCTAAATAGGAAAAGTAAAACTTTGAAAATATAGGAATATATACAGAAACACATTTATACACACACACACACACACACACACGTCATATATACGATACGATGTAAGATAGCCAAGTGTGGTGGCACACGCCTATAGTCCCAGCTACACAGGAGGCTGAGGCAGGAGGCTCACTTGAGCCCAGAGTTTGATGCTGTAGTGCACCATGACTGCGCCTGTGAATAGCCACTGCACTGGGCAACACAGCGAACCTCATTTCTTAAAAAAAAAAAATTAATTAAAAAAGAAATGGAGGATAATAGAGCAGAAAGGGTTTCTTACACAAAAAGTACAAACAATAAAAAGAAAACTGACAAATTCAGTAACATTAAATTTAGAAAACTCAGAAAAGACACTATTTTTAAAAAAGTAAAAAATGGGCCACTGAACAGAAACATTTGCAAAACATAAAGCTATCAAGGATTAGTATCCAGAATGTATACATACACAAGTTTCTATGAATCAATAAGAAAAAAACAAATAACAATAGAAAAATTGGCAAGGGATATAAACAGGTAATTTATACAAGTAGTCATGAAAATGAAAGAAACAAGATATCATATTCACCCATTGAATTTACAAAAATTTTAAAGTTTGACAATGCCAAGTACTGACAAAGATGCTGAATTGTGGAAACTCTTAAAACCTGCTAATGGGAGTAAAAATTCGTGTACTTGGTTTGAAGAGCAATTTGGTAATACCTAGCAAAATGAAAGTGCATGTATTTCATGACCCAACAATTTTGCTTCTACCACCTTATAGAAATACTTGCATATGTATATGAAAATATATGTACACAAAGGTTTGCTGCAGCATGTTTGTAACCCCCAAATTTGGAAACAATATAAATGCCTATCAACAGGAAAATAAACAAATAAATTGTGGTTTACTAATTCAATCGAAATGAATGAACTAGATCATGGAGAAATATCAACAGTGTTGAATGAGAAAAGCAAGTGGAGAGAATAATAATATTAAAGAATAAGAACATGCAAAACAATGCTATATATTGTTTAGGGATATATGTATGTAACAAAAATATGAGAACATACGGGAATGATAATGTTTAAACTCAGAAGAGTGGTTATTTTGAAAAGTGGAAGGGGAACAGTGGGGCTACAACTCTGTTTTATTTCTTAATCTGGATGGAAGCTACATAAAAATTTGTTATAATGTTCTCTATGCCTTTCTGAATATCTAAAATATTTCATAATAAAAGAAAAGTTTAAGGAGATTGCTAAAAACCATAGATTTGGTGAGAAAGAATCGATGGTAATTTCTCTTGTAGGAGTTTTCATGAAGTAGCCATTATAAAAAATCAAGATACACAGTTGAAAAGAGAATGAGAATTGAAGCTGGGACTGAAGGCTGACAAAAAATGAAAATAGAGGGCAAGAAAATTAAAGATTTACCGAATGCAGTAAGAGTCTTGAAAAGAGATCTGTTTTCTGTGGAGAGATCAGGTGCATCTGACTGCTTAAAGAAAAGGAGCTTTAGTCTACGGCCACACCACCCTGAACACGCCCGATTTCGTCTGATCTCGGAAACTAAGCAGGGTCGGGCCTGGTTAATACTTGGAAGGGAGAAAAGGAGCTTTAGATTGGCAGTCCTAAGGATATTGGAGACAGAAGGAAAATCAAGTTCAACCTTAATGAGAACAAGACTTCTCCTCCCTCCAACTCCAGAGGGACCTTTGCAAGAGCTCAGTGAAGGAAGGGGCAATGGAGGGAGGGGTGAAATCGGGTTTAGTGCATGCCGTGTCCTGTGAACCTTCCCCACAGCCTGGAAAGACTTTGAGTACTCTCATCTATATATTAGAAGGTGCCATCTGCCTTGCTCTCACCTGAACTGGGATCTCCTGGGCCTTCTTTCTCTGTCATCCATGGTTCCTCTCCTTTCTCCAACTGGGAAATCACACTAGGTTTAGAAAGTTGATATCCTGCTTATGGAGTAAAGAAAGAGTGTGAATGTCTATGTTGATGTAAAAGAACTATCCCCAGAATTTAGTTCAAGTCTTCTGGTATTCAGGTTCTCTGAAAGTGGAAAGGGGTGGATCTTTCTATTCTGCCTCTATGTAGTAAAGCTGTTCCCCAAGGAAAGTTGATCAGATATGCCCTGGCTTGGTTTTCAAAGGAATAACAACACAGAACACAAGGCCAAGCTTCAAGAAATCCACAACACTGATAATTTAAAATAATGACTTTTCTATAATAGGTAGGTTTCTGGATGTGTGGATAGCCCATTCTTACCTACTGACACCAGGTTCCTGTAGTTCTCCAGCATCACCTCTCGGTACAGATTCTGGTGAACAGGGCCTAGTTGCCCCCACTCTTCCTGAGTGAAGTCAATAGATACGTCTTTGAAGGTCAATAATTCCTGGAATATCAAACAAATTGCATTTTTCATCAATGCTGAATTACATTTTAATTAAGTTTTGAAGGACAGATTTTAATATACTATATCTTATATTACTTTTTTTTCTTTTTTTTGAGACAGAGTCTCACTTCTACTGCCCCTGGCTAGAGTGCAGTGGTGTCTAATAGCTCACTGTAACCTCCAAACTCATGGGCTCCACCGGCATCCTCCCTCAGCCTTCACCTCCGGGATAGCTGGGGACCACAAGCACCACACCAGCCATGCCAGCTAAGTTTTTTCAAACTATTGTTAACATTCGTAGAGATGCGGATTGGCGTCTCCAATCCTGAGCTCAAGTGATCCTCCACCTTGACTCCCAGGCGTGCTAGGGATACAGGCATGAGCCACCAACGGCCCCCCAGGCCCAGATTTTAATTCCTTTAATACTTTCGCGTATGCGAGTGCTTAGGCGTAGCACACGTACGTCCTACCACAGGCTACATGTTTATCTTACCGACACAACAGGCAAACTTAAAAGTTGGTGATATTCCAGCTCAATCCTCAAATTCCATTTACGTCCTGAAATTTTACCCCACCCCAGCCCAAGCAATAGAAAGACTTGATTTTGGACTTGGCTTTTGTTCTCATGTCCAAATATGCTGTTTTTACACAGCTTCATTCTCCGGAAAAGCGCCCTTCTCCTGTTGTATTTCCATGGTGTCGACTACACGCTGCGCACTGCAATTTCTATAGCTGCAAGGCTTTTCCAATTCATTACATTCATAAGGCTTTTTCTCCAGTGTGATGTTTTGCTGTTTTTCAAAGGATGAATCATGCCTATAGGCTTTTCCCACAGGTCGGTTGCATTCATATGCTTTCACTGCCTGTATGAACAGTTCTTATGTTGCTAAGGTGTATCCTCCTGTCTAAAGGCTTTTCCACATTCCTTAACATTTGCTAGGTCTTTCCAGTATCGGATTCTCTTCCTCCTGGTGACTGGTGTTTAGATTCGCTCTATGACTAAAGGGTTTAACAACATACAGTGCATGCATCAGGGCTTCTCCCCAGTATCGAATTTCTTATATGGTTGCACTAGATGTCTAATCTGTCGAAAGGTTTTCCCACATGCGTCCATTGCAAGTAAAGGGCTTTTCTCTCCAGGAATGAGTCCTCAGTGCTGCCCAAGCTAATATTCTGGCTGAAAGTTTCTGTACACTTATCACATACACTAGGGTTTCTCTCCAGTGTCGAGGTTCTATGATGGCTGATTAAAGCGAGGTGAGCGATGCTCTGAAGGTTGGTTCGCCACATTCCTCACATTTCAAAGGGTTTCTCACCAGTATCGGATTTCTCGGCTGGTGTGTACTAAGGGATCGCCCGACTTTGACTAAAGGCCCTTGCCGAGCATGTGTCTTCTTACATCTGAAAGCGTTTCTCACCAAGTCCATGAATTACTCATGTTTCCAGCATGAATGGGTATGTTTTGAAGAGGTTTTCACATATATTCACATGGGCCGGTAGGTTTTTGTTCTCTATGTACATTTGGTTGGATGAGTTAATCAAATCTCCAATTTGTACTTTGTTCTTTCTAGGTGTATCACATTTATGGTGGCCTCTGTTCTCACTAATACAGATTTGAACCTCACAATGATAATTTTCCCCAAATTTTGTTACGCTGCGTCCTCTCTCCTTAGGTCAAGATCGGTTTGTCCCTCACATCTTCTAACAGCGAGGTTTCCTGGTGCCCTCTTTCTAACACATCATCCATATTGTGGAGAGCTTTTCTCAATGTGGATAAATGATACTCATCCTTCTGCTCTTTCTAATGCCATGATATCAACTCATTCTGTGCAGTGGCTTCCTTTGCTCAGTCCTCTGGTTTTCTCTTCATCTGAGTGGTGTCAATTTTATTATGCCTTGAAAACACATCCAATCACTATTAGCTGGTATGGAAACAGACACTTAGACACACAACTACATATAAGTATAACTCGCGCAACTTTGACTATCTTTAAATAGTAGGTTACTAACAGCCTGGAACAGCGTACATGCAGAAAACTTGAAAATTAACGTGAACAAGTTAAAAGTCTGTTACTTTTATGGTACCATAGTAAATTCTGAATCCTTGCTTCTACATAATACTAAGTAATACAGAATTTAAACTGATGTCTTAAGAATGGAAGTACTCACAGAGAACAGACTGGGCATGGTGGGGACATACAAAAGAGCTTGTAACTCCTACAGGCACTCTGGGAGCCGAGGCGGGCGATGTGCTCAGAGAGGTCAGGCAGTGTCAACAAACCAGAGCCCGCGCACGAGAACCGCCGTCTCTACTTATAAAAAGTAGAAAGAAATTAATTGGCCAACTAATATATATATAGCCTGAGTCAAAATTAGGCTGGGCATGGGTGGCTCGTTGCGTAGTCCCAGAGGCAACGGTTCGCGGGAGGCCTGAGGCAGTAGATTGCTTGACCCAGGAGTCTTGAGGTTGCTGTGAGCGTAGCCTGACCCGACGGCACTCCATCTACAGCGCCCTACGGCCAAGAAAGCCAAGACCTCTGTCCTCAAAAAAAAAAAAAAAAAAAAAAAAAAAAAAAGAATGGAAGTACTCTGTTCAATTGACAACCACTTTTGGAAACAATCTCAAGAAATATATAGACAAAAAAGAGAATACAATTATATATTAACATATATATATAATACATCCCCTACTCCAGCAACAGCAAGGAGATTCACTAGTTCAAAAAATAGGGCTTGAACTAAAAACAAAGAACATTTACACTGTCTTTTATTGAAACTTGTATTTGTGTGTATATGTATAATTCTGTTTTCTGTAGTTAGTAACATAGCGATGGAAGTGTTACTTATACAAGGAGACTTATAAAAAACCCAGACTGCTATGTTGCTATTGCTGGTAGGTTCTAGGAAAATATCCTTTAACCTTTAAAATTCTGACTGGTTTCTTTACTTGATAATTTGTTGCACCATTATTAATATTCTCAAGGATACATTCCAGTGATAGTATTCTTTTTTTTTGGTTAGAGACGATTCTCACTTCTGTTGCCCAGCTGAGTGGGAAGTGCGTGGCGGTCGCAGGCCTACAGCCTCACAGCAACCAATCATCTCCTGGGCTCAAGCCAATCCCTGCTGCTATTCCAGGAATTATTGGACCTTCAAGAGGTTATCTATTGGATGTCACTCAGGAAGAGGTGGGGGCAACTAGGCCCTGTTCACCAGAATCTGTAACGAGGAGTGATGCTGCGAGAGAACTACAGTCTGGGGACCTCAGGTGGGTTCAGGGTAGGTAAGAATGGGCTATCGCCGCACATCCAAGAAGCCTACCTATTATTAGAAAGTCATGGTATTGTTAACATTATCCCAGTGTTGTTGGATTTCTTGAAGCTTGCCTTGTTTGTTCTGGTTTTATTCCTTTGAAAACCCAAGCCAGGGGCATATCTGATCAAGCTTTCCTTGGGGAACAGGTTGCGCAGATACATAGGAGGGACAGAATAGGAAAGATCACCCGGTTTACTTATACAGAGAAGAGACCTGAATACCAGAAGACTGTGAGACTAAATTCTGTGGGATAGTTCTGTTTACGATCAAGCATGGACATCGACACTCTTCTTTGCTCCATGTGGCAGGTGATATCAACTTTCTAAACTAGTGTGGATTTTCCCAGGAGATGAAAGGGAGAACCGGGAAGGATGACAGAGAGAAGAGAAGGCGGGCAGTTGAGGATACGCGAGGTCAGGTGCATGAGCAAGGCAGATGGCACTTCTAATATATAGATGAGTACTCAAAGTCCGCGAGGCGTGGGAGTTCACAGACACGCGGATAAACACACACCCTCCCCAGCTTCCTTCACTGAGCTCTTGCTCAAGAGGTCCCTCTTGGAGTGGGAGGGAGAGAAGTCTTTTGGCATTAAGGTTGTGGAACTGATTTTCCTTCTGTGTAATATCTTAGGACTGCAATCTAAAGCTCGTTCTTTTCTCCCTTCCAAGTATTAACCAGGCCCGACCATGCTTAGGTTTCGAGATCAGACAGAAATCGGGCGTCGTTCAGCGGGTGTCGGTGTGGCGTAGCTTAAGCTCCTTTTCTTTAGAGCAGTCAGATGCGCAGCTGATCTCTCCGACAGAAACAGAGTCTCGTTTTCAAGAGCTCGTTCACTGCATTCGGTAAGATCTTCGGTAATTTTACTGCCGTCGGTATTTTCATTTTTTTGTCAGCGGGCTTCGCAGTCCCAGCTTTCAATTCTTCATTCCTTTTCAACTGTGTATCTGATTTTTTATATATGGCTACTTCATGGAAAACTTCTACAACGAAGAAATTCTACCTCCGATTCTTTTCTCACCAAATCTAGTGGTTTTGTAGCAATTCTCCTGTAAACTGTTTCTTTTATTATGACGGCCAATATTTTAGATATCAGAAAGGCCATAGAGAACATAT